GGGCGGGGCCTAGAGAAGAAGGGGAGGGGGGAGCAGACATGGGGGGGAGGAGCAGGAGAGGGAGGGAGAGAGAAGGGTGGAGGTGGGGGAGTGGGAGAGAGGGGAGCAGGGAGGGGAAGGAGGGGAGAGGTGGGAGCAGGAGGGAGAGAGAAGGGGGGAGGTGGGGGAGCAGGGAGGTGGGAGCGGGAGAGGAGAAGGAGGGGAGGGAGAAGGGGGAACAGGGAGGGGGTGGATGGGGAGGTGGGAGCGGGAGGGAGAGAGAAGGGTGGAGGGGGAAGGAGGGGGAGCGGGAAGGGGGGGAGCAGGGACACCCACAGCCCATGCACTGCACCGGGCCCAGGCACTGAACCAAGGGGACGGGACCTTCCACCGCTTGCCTGGAGCCAGAGTTCACCTGCTCACAGGCGGGGGGACCTGGCAGCCGGCTGCTTTCAAGCCCTGCCCTTGTGTACCTAGCGCTGGTCACCTGTGGATCTCAAAGCACTTGACAAAGGGGCCCAAGTTAGGACCAGAACCCAGGAGTCCTGGCTCCCACAGCCCCTGCCAGCGCTGTAGCAACAAAGAACGTGGCCCCCTCCGAACGGTGGCCCCCTCTGAACATATGTCCGGGCGGGGCCCCTTACAATGCAGAAACTGGAATGCAGTATTTATTTTGCCACTTTTAGGGGCCTCCTTCCTTGCGGGGCCCCCTCCGGCCGGAGGGTACGGAGGGCGCTCGCTACACCTCTGGCCCCTGCTTTCCTGCTGCGCTCACTCCCAGCCCGGAGCCGGGCACAGAACCCAGGAGTCCTGGCTCCGACTGCCCCGCAGTAATGACTAGCCTGCACTTTCCTGGCTGGTAACAAAACCTTGCGAATGCCGAGCTCCATTAGCCAGGACGAGGCCGGGCTGGGCAGGCCACAGGAAGCGATTTGACCCCAGGGTCGTGACCCCATGACTCAAGTTGCAGTGGGGGAGGTCTAGGTTGGATATTCGGAAACACTATTTCACTAGGAGGGTGGTGAAGCGCTGGAATGGGTTCCCTAGGGAGGTGGTGGGATCTCCATCCTTAGAGGTGTTTAAGGCCCGGCTTGACAAAGCCCTGGCTGGGATGGTTTAGTTGGGGTTGGTCCTGGTCCTGCTTTGAGCAGGGGGTTGGACTCGATACCTCCTGAGTCTATGATTCTGGGAGAAATTTGGCCGGCCGGCCCCTTTGAGACCCGCTGATCTTTAGACTCGACTCGTGGCAGCTGGCTGCCCTGGGTCAGGCTAACCCTGGCGGGAGATCACATGCCCATTATCGATTTCAAGCACAGGTGCTCATGCTGAGTTGGCAAGTGGCGGGCGGGGTCCTTCCCTCCTCCCCAGAGCACCCCGCAGGGGGCTGGAAATGGGCCAGAGCGACTCCAGCCCCTGTGCCCACTGCGGCTGAGAGAGCCGGCCACAAGGGCCTGGGCTGAGACCCACCAAACTCGTTGCACGTGGAGGCCCCGGCTGGTCATGCAGCTGGGCTGGCTGTGAGCTAGCTCCCCTCCCCGCCGCTCCCATCATGGACACCAGCACTGGGTTCAAAGAATGGGCAGCGCCCTGCTTTATTCACACCCAGACCGAGGGCGGCACGAAGGAGCCGGCTGTGGTGACGGGGCTGGAGGAGCTCGTGGGCCGGGGGTCGGCCGGCTCCACCTGCCGGAAGTAGCTGATCAGCGACCGCACCCCCAGTTTGACGGCCGGCCTCAGCCCCACGGCTACGCCGACGCCCAAGTTGCCCCCTGCCGTGCCCAAGAGCCCCAGGAGGGCGTCGTAGCTCAGGTCCAGGGCCGCCTCGATGCCCCGCTCCTTGGCCAGCTCCGTGCAGTTCCGGAAGGCGTAGTAGATACTGGTGCCCACGTTGTAGTAAGTGCTGACCACGGGCACCCACTCCAGTATGCCGTGCACCTTCCGCTCCCGCGCGCTGCTGCAGGCCTCTGGGCTCCCGCGCCGCTTCCTCCCTGCCCCGCGGCACCGGTGGAGCCAGGCCTGGACCCCGCGGCCCGGCAGGACGTAGGCGCCGGGCTGTCCGATCACCGAGAAGGAGGTGGTCCCGTTGGAGGTCACGCCGGCACAGGCAGAGCCCAGCCTGTGGCAGGCCACGGCGGCGGCTGGGAAGGTGGTATGGGTGCTGGCCACCGGGCCCAGCAGCAGGGAGCTGTCGATCTGGGCCAGGCCCGAGCAACGCCGGGGGCCCACCCCTGCCAGCTGATCCACATTGAAGAGCAGGGCGGTCCTGCCTCTCTTACCCTGGCTGGGGCTTCCTGGGCGTCCTGCTATCCCCAGCAGCAGCGCGTTGGCATCATCCACCCCCACCACCCCGTAGAGCCGCAGCACCAGCCCCTCGGCCTGCCGGGGGCAGCCAGCCCCTTGGAGGGAGAGGGCTAAGGCCGCGCTGGCGAGGGTCTGGGGCAGCGGCGGGAGCTGGGAGAAACCCTCCAGGGCCTCGGGCAGCAAGTCCTGGCAGGAGACCCCCACCCGTGGGAGCCCCGGCTGGGGAAGCCGCCCCGGGAGGGAGTCGAGCAACACCCTGGCAGCGGCCTGATGGGAGCTGGGCGCGTCGGGAGAAGTGGGGAGGGGGGCAACTTCCATCCCTGGGGGCTTGATGGTCCCAGCAGCGCCTCCCCGTGGGACTGTGGGGGGCAGCCGGTGCCCATGTAGCTCATGGCACAGCAGGAGGAGGCAGAAGCAGAGAAGTGGGTGGTGCATGGTGGGCCGGTCCTTCGGGGGCGCAGCACAGACCCTGCTGAAGAGGAAACGTCACAGACAAGAATCGGGAGCCCCTCCCCGCAGCAGGGGACCCTCCGGCAGGGGACGCCGGCTACTGGCACAACTGGGCTCGAGGGACCAGCCTTTGGCCTCTGGAGTCCGGGGTTCAAATGCACGGTGCCTGGCTGGGAGAGGAGACTGCGGGTCGGGGTGACTGCAGAGCTGTGGAGCGCAGCGTAGCCTAGTGGGAGGCCTGATTTCTATTCCCAGCTCTGCCCGGGCCTGGGCCTCAGTTTCCCCACTGTAAAGCACGTCAGCGGGACGTGCGAGCGAAGAACCAGGCGTCGTTATCCCAGGAGAGCAGGTGGCTGCAGGTTGGGATTGAGGGGCACCAGCCGTCCCTTTGAATCCCCAAAGGGGGCCCATAAGCCAGGGCCCCCGGGAGCCGAGCATGGGGAGGGGGAAGGTTCCCCCAACATATGAGAGTTCAGGCAGCAAAGCAGGTTCTCATTTCCCAGTGTTGCAGCAGCTGCACTAAACTGGGGGCGAGGGGGGTCGGACACCGCACCAGGGTCGAATTCTCCCCCCGCCCCCAGGGAAGAGTGAAGCTGGTGGGCACCAATTTGGCCATTCCCACGGGGCACTGAGCTGCCTGAGATGGGAGAAGAGCAGCAGCCCAGGGCAGGGGGCAAATGCCGCCCCCAGCTCAGCCACATGGGTCCACACAGCTGTGTGTCTGATTGACACAGGCAACTTCGACTCCTACCCCACCATGGGCAAATGGGGCATTCCCCCCCCCCGCCCAGCTCAGTGGCACCGATTTGCACGCCCATAGCAGTTCCCCCCACCCCCCCAATGACAGAGCTGCCCCCTGCCGGTCCCTGCTGGGGTTCGGAGACCAACCCTGGTGCGAAGGCCTCGTGTAAACGTGCAGCGAGAGCAGTGGGGACAAACCACCGAGGCAGGGGGGTTACAGCCTCCGCTCACCTGGGCACAGACGTGATCAGGAGCTCCTGGGTGCCAGGAGGGATGACAGGATGCCTGGTCCAGAGCCTGCCTGCCTGGCCCCTTTTATAGCCTGCCTGGGGGAGGCCCCCAGGCCAGGTGATCCCTTATCAGGCAACTGATTGCAACAGCCTCGGCCCTCCGGTCCCTGCTCCCCGCTCCCAGGGGCCGGCCCGAGAGCCTTCCCCTCTGCAGCCTCCACATGCTCTGTCTCTGCAGTAGGGCCTCAGCGGGGGCTGGCCCCTGGGGATCCCTGGCAGGGCATCCGCTGGGCAGGCAGACACAGGGTAAGGCGGGCACCACGGGCACCGGGGAGCCAAGGCAGTGGCCCTGGGAGGGCAGGGCAGCAGGGGCCAAGGGATCTGGGTGAGGCCGGCCCAGGCGTCGCCCCTGCCCTGGCTGGGTTCAGGCCAGGGTCTCTGTTCATCTTGTTTGTGCAGCTGTTGATTAAAAAAAAGTCAACCCCCACCCCTGCAATGTCACCAGGCTGGGCCAGGGCCCCTCCCAGCTGGGGGGGAGAGAGAAACCAACCTAGGGCCGGGGACACGCTAGGGAGGGAAGATCTGAGCCGGGGTGAGAACAACAGGCCTCCGCTCCCCTCCCACACGTGGAGCAGGAGTCCTGGCACATACACACTCCCCCGTCCCGGCCCCAGCAGCCCTGGCCTGCCCCACACCACTGCAGCAGGGACACAAGAGGGAAGGTTGAGCCCATTTTATTTTGGCCTTTGCCCATTCGTAACATGACAGCAAACAAACCGGGGGTGGGGTGGAGGGGGTGGATGTTAACTCCTGCTGGAAGTCAAACCACAAAGGGGGCTGGGGGATGAGGTATGGGAATGGGGGGGGGGGGAGGAGTTAATGCCCCTCCCTGGCTCGCCCCGGATCTCCTGGGACAGAAGGACCCAGTGCCCACCCAGCAGGGCACGGCTTATCCGGGGCCCAGCCGGGCCCTGGCACAGGGGAGCTGGGCCCTGGCGGGGGTAGGGCAGCTCTAGCTTAGGGCCGGGGTGGGACAGCCTAGGCCCCCTTTTGGCTCAGCCACCCCAGGGGAAGGGCCAAGGACGTCCCCTCCACACATGGGGGCACAGCCCCCAGCCCGCCAGGGAGCACACGGCCCTTTGCGTCCTTTGGGGACCACGACCTTTAACCCTGATGACACCAGCAGCTTGGGGGGGACGGGACGGGGACCACATTGTGGGCGACAAACCTTGGAACCCAGAACCTAATTCAAACCGCGTCACCCCCCCAGGGTGGGGGGGAAGTGACCCCTCTGTGGGGGAAATTACAAGCAAAAGGAACCAGGAAGGGGCAGGGGCTGGCTCCTCAGTGCCCCCCCTCCACGTCTGTGCCCCCTACGGCCTGGCCCCAGCGCTCCCCCCTCCCCCCGGCTGTGCGTGGCAGACAGGCGGCGGGTGGAGGGGAGTGTCTGAAGCAGCTGGTCACACTGAGAGCAGTCTGGAGGAGGGGGGGGGAAGGGGGGGCAAGGCCCAGGCCAAGGCGACGTGCGGGGGGGTCTGGCCAGGCCCCTTTAATCCTCCTCCTCGATCCACAGGCGCTTCCTCCAGCAGGGGGGCCGTGTCCTTTAATCCTCCTCCTCGATCCGCAGGCGCTTCCTCCGGCGGGGGGGCCGTGTCCCCTCCCCGTCCGAGCTGGGGTCCGGCTGGGCTGGCGCCGCAGCTGAAAGGGAGAACAGACGAGGGACCTCAGGGCTGAGTCCCCCACACCCCTCCCAGCTCAGCCCCCTCCACCCCACATTCCCCTCAGGCCGCCACCCCGCACCTCCCTCCAGCTGAGCTCCGCACTTAGCCTGTCAGCACTCCAGAGGCTACTCCTACGCCCCAGAGCAGGGGGCACCTGGGGCCCCACTTGGCTCTGCCCCGGGGGTGCCCCCGGACGGCAGCTGCCACCAGTGCCCATCCCCTGTGAGTGTGTGGGGGGGGGGGCAGGGCGGCTCTTGCACCCAGGGCCAGGCAGGCTGCAGGGAAGGGCAGAGGGAGGCGCTCGGAGACCTCGGCTTTCGGGGTCCTCGTCGTCCTCGCTGTGGATCACACGGCTCCGCTTAGGGCCCAGCTGCGACTGGACAGGAGGGTCCCTGCAATGACGAGGGAAGGGATTAGGGGCAACCCCGGCACCCCCGACCCCCAGCTCCCCGCCCCAGCCCAGCCCCTTATGAACACTAGACCTCAACCCCGCTGGATGGGACATCATTACCTGTTAGAGATGGGGGAACTGAGGCACGGAGCGGCAGGGACTTCCCAAGGCAGAAGGGAGTCAAAGGCAGGAGTCCTGGCTCCCAGTCCCACCTCGCTCCAACCCACCAGGCCCCAACCCCCCTCCCAGAACCAGGGACAGAACCCAGGAGTCCTGTGTGGGCACAGAGCCTGGGTGGGGGCGGGGTTACCACCCCTGACTCTCACCTCTCCAGATCAGACCCTGAGGACGCTGGTGGCTGCTCCGGGCCAGGTGTTTCCTCCTCTGAAATGGAACAAGAAAGTGAAAGCATTGGTGCGTGTGTGTGCGCGTGTGTGTGTGTGCGCGCGCAACACAACAGTCCCCCCACCCCCACCCCACTGCTCAGCCTGTCCCCTGCCTCCTGGGGCAGCCTCCCAGGCCAACACCCACCCATCGCTCACCTGGCACGGCTGGGGCCCCTCTCTTCCTCCGGGCCAGCCGCAAGGTCTGGGCTCTCTGCTCCGGGCCGGCGTCCGGCCCCCACGGGGAGCCTTCCTCCCCCTCAGGCTCCTCCTGGGCGACGGAGGCAGCCGCGCGCCGGAGCTGTTCGGGGCTCAGCTTGGCCGGGATGCGCCAGAAGGATTCCTGCGGGGGGGGACGGGGGGGGGGGGGGGCCCGGGGGTGTTGGGCCGCGCAACCGCGGAGGGGGGCCCCCCCCGGGGGGGGGGGTCCCCGGGGGATGGGCCCCCCCCCCCGAAATCATCCTTTCCCCTCCGCCCCAGGGCACATACCAGCCACCCTCACAATGCAGAGAGAGAGAGAGAGAGTGAGTGTGTGTGTGTGAGAGAGAGAGACAGAGAGTGTGTGTGTGTGTGGGGGGATGTGACGAAGTGGGAATGTTCTCAATGTTTTCTCTGAGTACTGTGTGGGTGCCTCAGTTTCCCCTATGCATTTCTTAAGTATCTTGGTGGTGGAATAAGGGTGTGTGATTGTTGCAGAGCCCTAGAGGGCCAGTGTGATGCTGTCTGCACAGAGAATGGCCGACACCCTGTCTCCTGGCAACTGATGGCCTGGGGCCCTCCCCTGCAAAGGTGCCAACTGAAGGTGTTGGAGAACAAAGGGATCAGGTGGCCTCCTGGCCGGGAAAGAGACAAAGGCCAGAGGAGGGGCTGGAGAGTTTCAGTTTGGAGCTGGCTGGGGAAATGAAGGGGGCCCAGACGGGGAAATGAAGGGGGCCCAGACGGGGCTCTGGCCTCTCTGGCCCCCCAAGATGGACCTGACTGAGGGGTCCTGTTTCTGTACCTACAAGCTCTGTTTGGACTGTGTTCCTGTCATCTAATAACCCTTCTGTGTTACCGTCTGGCTGAGAGTCAGGTCTGGCTGTGGAGTTGGGGGGCAGGGCCCTCTGGCTGCCCCAGGAGCCCGCCGGTGCAGACTCGCTGTGGGAAGTGCACGGAGGGGCAGGGGATGCTGAATGCTCCGAGATCAGACCCAGGAAGTCAAAGCTATGGAAGCGTCTTGCCCTGGAGCCAGTCTGCTCCGAGAGAGGAGGCTCCCCAGAGTCCTGACTGGCTTTGTAGGGAGCAGTTCCCGAGCGTCCCCCAGTGACTCTGACAGGGGGTAATTACCTGCTCGTTAGCTGGGGCCCGAACCCCGACCTTCCGCAGCATCTTCTGGAACCCCTGGTTCTCCATGGCATCCTCATTCTCCTCCAAGAGCGGCACCAAGGGCACGGGCTGAGCGGTGCCTGGGGACAGGGGGCACCGTGAGGATGAACCCGCCCCGCGCATGGGGGAGAGGGGGGTTCGGGCTACAGCCGGGGGATCCTTCGAAACCGGGAAACGCCAGGTCGGGGTGCTAGTGCCGGGGGGCTCACGTGGGCGCAGCGCAGGGGAGAGAGGCACATGGATCCCCTCCCGATGCCCCTGGCTGGCCCCAAGGAGCATCTCACCCCAGCCGGTATTGGGGTGCCCCCATTTGCCCCAGGAGGGAACAGATCCCATTCACGAGCCATCCCCCCGGGACCTTCCCTGCGGCACTGCCGATGTCGGGAGCCCGGGGAGAAGCCGCCAGCATCTCCCGAGCGCGGCAGGGCCATGCCCGGCGCCAGCCGCCCTCCCAGCACCGATCCTGCCCCCCCCCGGGTACTAACCATCTTCCTCCCGGTCCTCGGCCGCTCGGTTCAGGCAGTTCTGAAGCCACAGCAAGGAGCCAGCCAGGCCTGCGGGCACAAGGAAGAGCGGAGGTGAGAGATGGCCCCAGGAACACTCCGAGCTGGAGACTCACAAGCCAGGGATCCCAACGGGCAGTGGCCCCTTTAAGGAGCCATGGGGCTGCACTCTCTGGGGTTGGGGGGGGGGGCAGTGCGGGCACAGGCCTTAACCTCTGTGTGTCTGGGCCAAGGAGCCGAGGCAGCCGGCATTCGCTGCCCCCCATCCCACCCCCAACAGAGGCCCAGTGGCCCCCAGCCAAGCAGCAGCCCGCATGCCCCACCCAACAGCTCCCCAGGCCAGCAGGAGGCGCTCACGGGTGCACCGCCGCCACTGGGGGAGCCAGCGTGCTCCTCACCTCCCTGCCTCAGGCGGCGCGCCAGGCCCTGCACGTCCTGCTCCAGCACCAGCTGGTTCTTGCTGCCCTGCTCCTGGCGCTCCTCTGCGGCCCTGTCACCTGCGCCCCCTTCCTCCCAGGCCTCCTCCTCGCTGTCGCTCTCCTCCTCTTCCTCCTCTGCAGAGTCCTCCCGGCCAGCCGCACCCCACGGGGATCTGTCCTCGCTCTGGAAGGGATGGGAGCGACGGTAAAGTCATATGCCAAGGGTGGGGGGGTCCTGCCCAGGCTCCATTGGGGGGAGAAGGGGGGAGCTGGGTAAGAGAGGGTGCCTAGCCCAGACTCATAGCTGCATTTGATCATAAAGGAGTAGGGTCCAGTGGGCTCGAGCCGGAGGGGGGGCAGCATTGGGAGCTAGGACTCCTGGGTTCTATCCATCAACATGTGAGTCATGGCCCCCCCATGCCTCAGTTTCCCCATGCGTACAATTCGGGACAGGGCATGGCTGGGGGTGGATCAGGGTCTATAAAGTGCTTGGGGACCCTCCAGAGACGCCGGCGAAGGCAACCGCACCCATTTGGGAAGGGATCCCCAGGACAGGGGGGGCGCCTTCAGAGCCCCCCCATAGGCCTCAGCCCCACGGAAACACATCCCACACAAACGGGGGGAAATTACCCTCTGACCATCCCTCCCAGCAGGGGCAATGGGGGTGTGCCCCCGACAGCAGGGGGGACACCCCCCCACACACACACAGTGCCGTACCATGCCAGGCAGGCCGGGCTTCCTCTTGCGTTTCTTGTACAGCTCCTTGCGCTCTGCCACCAGCCCCAGGCTTAGCAGCTTCTCCACGACGCGGGCTTTGGAGCGCTTGGCCGTGAGGTGCTTCATGATGTTACCCAGAATATCTGCCGGGGGGCAGAGAGATTCTGCATCAGGCTGGAGAGCCCCTTCATTACACTGGGCGCAGGGATACGAGGGGGTGAGGAGGTTAATGAGTCCCAGCTGATCAGAGACCCCCCCCTCAATCAATCTGCTCCCGCCCCGTTCTGCCCCCCGGGGTCCCCTGCTTACCGTCTGCGCCCTGGAACTCCTCGAAGAGCCGCTGCAGCTCCAGCTCCTGCTCCTCCGTCCACAGCACGAGGCGCGTCCCCTTCCTGGGCCAGAACACGGGCATTCAGGGGCAGGAGGGACGCCCAGCACCCACGCCCCCCAACCACGGATTGCATCACGCTGGGATGGGAGGGACTCCCCCATGGTCACAGCGTATCAGTGACACAGCCGAGAATAGAACCCAGGAGTCCTGGCTCCTAGTCCCCTCACCCCAGTGCCCACCTCCCTCTGGATACCCCCCGCCCCCCATGCAGAGAGCAGGGGATTTACTGTCCCTGCCACGCAGAGTCCCCAGTGCACGGACGCTGGGTTCTTTTCACTTTGTGGCCGGCTCGGGGCTCCCCCTTGGCCCCCCCCAGCCCCTGCCGTTCAGCTCCCGAGAGGCCCAGGGGGCACCCACCTCTCCCGCGGGAAATCCCTCGCGCTCTCGGCCAGCCCCAGCCGCACCAGCTGCTTGACGACCTGCTTCCGGGTCCGGCTGGGAGCCCGCAGGTGTGCGAGGATGCTGCCGACGACGTCCGCACCTGGGGAGAGGCCAGGGCACGGTTACAAAAAACGCCTCCACTCCCCTCTCAGAGCTGGGACAGAACCCAGGAGTCCTGGGCAGCTCCCCCGAACCCAGACGCCCCAGCGGGTCATTAACAAGACGGCTGGTACCTTCCACTCCCTTGTATTTCAGGTACAGCTCCCGCAGCTCCTCCTCCTCCTGCGGAGTCCACTTGGGGGCCCTCTGGGCACCAGAGCTGGGGGAAGCAGAGACCCGGTGAGGTGCTACTGGAGTCGGAGACCCTCCCCTCCCCGGCTGGGACCCTGGGGCTCTAGCCGCCTGCAGCACGTGGGGTGGGGAGGAGGGACGCCCTGCCCTAGGGTCACCGTCCTTAAATGGGGTGCCAATGTCCCTCCCCTGAGAACCACCCCCGTGCACAGGGCCTCCTGGGGATCGTGTGCAGCTGGTGTCAGGGCGCTGCCCCTGCCCTAGCAAAGCGGGCACTGCACCAGGGGAAGCAGAGCAGAAGCGAGAGCAGCCCCAAGGCTGCTCTAAGTAGTAGCAAGCAGGGCCAAGAATACGGGTAACACAGAGAGGACTTAGACGCTTCACCCCCACCCCATCCCAGGGCCTCCTTCAAGCTGGCAGCCTTCAGCCCAGACTCACCCCTCTCCTTCCTGCAGTGAGCTGTAGCCCTCCGTCATCTCTCGCACGGTGGCCGTGCTCTTCCAGAACAGCAACTCCACATAGACCTTCTTGTTGGTGGCTGCCAGGGCAAAGAACTTGCCCAGGACGTACTTGGCAAAGGTCACCAGCTCCTGGGAAGGCAGGGGGTGGGGTGGGGTGTTTAGAGGCCTCACGGCGCCATAAACACCCCCCTTTCCCCAGCACCAAACTGGGAACCTTTCTGAACTGAACGCATGGGCCTGGACCGCTTGAGCCAACAGAGCAGCTCCATTGGAGGCAGCAGTAGCAGGGCTGTTATCTCCGTAGCTGGAGCGTAATGGGCTAGCACAGTGCAAGTGCAGAGGGGAGAGGAAGATTATGCATGGCATCATGGGTATTCTCTGCTTCCCTGGGCCTGCAGGGAGCGGGGCTTAGCTTAGGGGAGCGTGGAGGTTCGAGGCCCCTCTCCCCGGCATTGGCCGTTCCCTGCTGGCGGGTTGGTGACGCAGGCGTAGCCTGGTGAAGGGCGGGCCCTGCCTGGGGCGGCTCCCCAGGGGCCCCTCACCTTGTAGGCGGAGGCCGAGGGGTCGCTGAGCAGGCGGTTGAAGATGCAGAAGACGGAGAGCTGGAAGAGCAGCGCCTCCATCTTGAGGTCGTAGGCAATGCGATGCAGCATCTTGGCCACGCAGTGGTTGGTGTGGGCGCTGTTCTGCCGGTAGCCCCGGAGCAGCAGGACGTAGGCCTTGACCACACTGGCGCTGGCAAACCTGGCCCCCACCAGCCCCCAATACACAGGTGAGTGAGCAAAGGATCATGGGACAGCTCAGCCGAGGGACGGGGCCCCTTCCCCAGCCCCCTCCCCCCCAGCTTAGCTTCCAAGAGGCAAGGATCAGCCTCCCTGTACCCAATGGGGAAACCGAGGCACAGAGCAGGCAAACGACTTGCTCAAAGCCACACAGAGCCAGGAATAGAACCCAGGAGTCCTGCCTGCCCCCCAAGTCCCTCCACATGCCCAAGAGTCACCCCACAGGGTGACAGCGCCTGCCAGCCGGAGACGTTCTGCCCAGCCCAGGGGCTCAGTGCACCCAGCGTTAGGATCCAGGGACCTCGACCTTCATGGCCCAGCTGGCCTCCTGGAGAGAGCGTGTCCCAGCCCTGCTGCCCTGACCCGACCTCCCACCGGCGCGTCCCACTCACCGTTTCAGATAATCCAGGAAGTTGAACTCTTTTTCCGACACCTGGACAGACGCCAGTTCTTCCTCCACCTCCTCTTCCTCCTCCTCCTCCTCCTCCTCCCCCGGCTCCTCGACCTCGGGCGCCGCTTGCCCTGCGATGTCCAGACACCCCGGGATGACGGGGACGCGGCACCACCAGGGAGTCGACGGCAGCACACACCGCCGGCTCCTTACCCCGAGGCTGCCCGCCCAGCACCACCCCGCGGCGGGGCCTGCCCACGCCCAGCCCGGGCACTCTGGGGTTAACAGGGCTCCCAGCTGTGTGTGGGGGGGTGAATGGCTGGACTGAGCCAGTCTGGAGCAGTCAGGCTTTGTGGGGGGGGGGGGCAGCACTGGGGTGATGGGAGAGGACCCCCCTCCATCCTCTGGCAAGGATACTCACGAGGAAGAGAAGCGAAGAGAATCTGTCTCAGCAGCTGGATCTCCTCGTCCAGGGCCGCCTGCGGGGAGCCGAACACGTCCTGTTCGGGCCACACCTCCCTGGGAAGGGGACGCAGACAGATCGGGCCGGGGTGCTGGGGAAGTGAGAGGCCCCCGCGCGACCCGTCGGCCGGGGGTCCCCCAGGCCAGGGCAAGGGGTCCCCGCCGCCCCCCCAGCACCGACGGCGGGTGGGCGCATCGCCCTGGTGACCCCCAGCGGGGCCGGCGGCAGTACCTGGCGGAGCGGAGCAGGGTCAGGGCGGCCGGCGCCCGGCGGCCCAGCAGGTTGTCCTGGATGCGCACCATGGCCTCCGCTCGCTGCTCCTCCACCGGGGTCTCCGAGGCAGCGTCGAAGGGGACCACGTCTTCCGGGAGGGGCTCAGCCCCCTGGCAGGGAAGTGGGGGGCGGGGGAGAGGCTGGGGTGACTCAGTGCCTGGCAGGGAGGGACCAGATCCAGCCCTGCCCACAGAGGTACCACAGAACAGCACCATGTCCCATTGGGGGGCTGGCCCCAGGCAGGGGGGCACCAGCCCACTAAGCCCAGACCCCACAGAATGCCACCTGCCTCCACTGAACCAGGCCCCCCACCCCTGGTGGGCTCAGCCCCCCAGAGCAGCACTCCCCACCCCCCATGGATTCAGCCCACCTTGGCCCCTGAGGACGGGCGCCTGTCCTGCCCCCCAACACTATGGGGATGCAGCTGCACTTTCACGGTTGCCCCAGATGCCCACACCGGGGGGGCCCCCACAGACTCCCCTGCCACCTAGCGTGGCCCACAAGGGGCGTGGCCTGTGCATGCGACAAGGCCACGCCCCCGGTGATGCCCACGCTGGGCCGGATCCCCCAGGGCAGCCCCGACCCAGACCCCGCAGGGACCCCAGGCGCTGCCCCCTCCTACCTGGGCGCAGGCGCCGAGCTGCTCCGCCAGGCTGGGCCACAGCTCCTCCAGCTCCTGGGGGGCGCGGGGCTGTGCGGGGGGCGCCGCCCGGCTGGCCCGGGGCTGCTTCTTCCTCCTCACCCTTTTGCTCTGCAAGGAGGAGATGGTGCAGTGAGAGGCCCCCGCAATGCTCCCCCTGTACGGCTGGCAGACCCCAGGACCGAACCCCCTGCCCCAAGGCACACAGGAAGCCGAGCTTCTGGCGCCCCCTGCCGGCCACTAGGAGTGACTGTCAGGTAAGGGAGAGCTGGCCACAGCTGGGGGGGCCGTGGGCCAAACCAGGGGCCAGCCCCGCTCCCCCTGTACCCACCCGGGGGTGGGGGGGAAGAGAGGGGTTAGCATGGCCCTGGGTCAGATCAGTGGTGCCTCCCCCTGTCCAAGGGGGGCAAATAAGCAGGTGCCCCCCCCAGACACAACCCCCCCCGAAGCACCTCCCCCCAGCCCAGCCCGCCCCCTCCCCAGCTACCTGCACCACCAGGTTGTTCCTGCCTCGGCAGAAGGCCTCCAGCATCTTGAGGAAGAGGTGGGTGGTCTCCACCAGGTCCCGCAGGAAGCAGCGGGGCTGGCGGCTCTCCTCGAACTTGCGGAAGAGAGCGAGGAAGAGCTCCCGGTACTCCATCAGGTAGAAGATGTTATCTGGGGGGGGGGGGGGGGGGCGGGGCCCAGGGGGGGGGGGGGAGCGAGCGCCCTGGCCTGGCCAGGGGGCAGCGCCCACCAGGCAAAGGGGCTGACACAGGACTGGTGGGGCTGGGCAGCCTAGGGGAATGAGGTGGGGGGGGGGCTTTTCCCTCTAGAGGGTGCTGGCCCCGATCTGGCTGCAGGGCAGGGGACTGGCTGGTTTGGGGAAAGGGGGTAGGAGATGGGGCACCAGGCCTTTCTCCTCTAGGGGGTGCCAGCTCCCATCCGGCCCCAGGGTGGGGACTGGCTGGCTCAGGGCGGTGGGGAATGGGACCTCCCCCTTCAAGGGGGAGCTGGCCCCGATCGAGCCCCAGGGCAGCCATGACCATGTCACCCTATGACATAGCTGGGGGGTCCAGTACCAAGGGGCTGGGAGCCCCAGTTAAGAGCAACCCCCTCCCCCCAACTGGCTCCAAGGGGTGGGGGTGGGGACTGGCCCGGGGGTGCACTCACTCTTAATGATCTTGCTGCATTCCCGCACGGCCTCGTCCGGGGAGCGATCCATCTCCTGCACCGTGGTCAGCAGCTCCCGGTAGGCCTTCAGGGCCAGGTGCATTCTGGGCACGGAGCAGAGGCTGGTCAGGAGAGTACCCCCCCTTGGGCAGCCGCTCTTGGCACCTAGCTCAGGTGTGTGTGTGGGGGGGGGCGGGACACGGCCTCCCTGGCCCCCCAGGGGAGGGTAAGGTGGCAGGTGACAGGCAGAGGGTGAAGGGAGTCAACCGAGGACTCCTGGAGTTGAGAACTGGGGAAAGAACCCAGGCATCCTGGCTTCTAGCTCCACCTCCTTCTCTAAGTCACTAGACACCCCCCCCTCCCCTCCCCGAACGAGGGATAGAACCCAGGAGTCCTGGCTCCCGGCCCCCCAGCTCTAACCACTAAGCCGCACTCCCTCCCTGCACTGGGCCGTTCCGGTCCCATTCTGCGCCCCCCCAGGCCCGGTGGAGAGGGGCAGCCGGGCGCCCTGCTCACCGCCTGGCCCACGACGTGGCCTCCTTCTTGTCCAGGAGCATGGCCTCGTAGTAGGCGGTGAGGTTCTGCTCGATGAAGTGGAAGGCGCGGACGCTGACCGTCTCGGACACCAGCTCGGGCCGGAAGCGCCGGCCGCGGTTGAAGGCCATGAAGAAGGCCATGGCCCACAGGTAGTAGGTCTCGTCATGCTGCTGGCTTTTCTCCCGGAGCAGCTGGTCCTGGGGAGCGCATACTGGTTGGGGGGGGCAGGGGGGACCCTCCTGCCCAGCCCCCACCCCCGAGACCCTCCCATGCTGCTCCAGGGGCACTGACGGGATTGGAGCTAGTGATGCTGAATAGCCAACCCCTCAGCTGCCCCCCACCCCAACGCCCCCTGCATCACTGCCCCCCAGAAGGCAGGGGAAGCTGCCCAGCTGGG